CACCGGTTGTCGGATTCCTTCACGTCTACCTTTGTCGTCTTGATTACCAAAAGACCCAATCCAAGCTCTTGGTCCGACTATAGGCCCATCAGCCTGTGTAATATGGCCAACAAGCTCATTTCGAAGATTCTTAATAGTCGTCTTTCCCCTATTCTCCCCTCCCTCATCTCTCCGAACCAGAGTGGTTTCGTCAAGGATCGGGTCATTAGTGATAACATATTTTTGGCCCAGGAGATGATCCACGATATCTCTCATGCGGATTGAAAGTGGGCACCAAACATTGCGCTGAAGCTAGACATTGCTAAGGCGTATGATAGGGTGGAGTGGCCGTTTCTTAGGGAGGCACTGGATAGGATGGGATTTCTTGAGAAGTGGATCAGTTTTGTTGAGGCGTGTGTGGAGCACTGCACGTTCTCGGTCCTGGTTAATGGTAGCCCCATCGATTTTTTTCCCTCCTCTAGAGGCCTTAGACAGGGAGACCCCCTTTCCCCATCCCTTTTCGTTCTTGCGGCGAACTACCTCTCTCGCTGCCTTGACGGCTTCATTCGCGACTATCCACGGATGACATACAACACCTGTGGCTATGGTCCTCCCATCTCGCACCTTTCTTATGCGAATGACATCATCACCTTAACCCGGGCGGATGATGATGGGCTGATCGAGCTTATGCACCTTCTGGAGCACTATAGCTCGGTTACCAGATAGCTTATCAGTGTGCAGAAGAGCACCTTCACCCTCTCTTCCTCCAGCGCGGAGAGGTGGGCTCAGCGAATCCACGAGATCACTGGCTTTGCGCGCGGCGACCTTCCCATTACCTACCTTAATGCCCCTTTATACAAGGGCAACCTCAAGAGAGTGCTCTTTGCGGACATCAGGCAGAGGATGATCGACAGGATTTCTAGTTGGTCTCATAGACATCTTTCTTTCTGTGGTAGGCTTCCGCTGATCAAGAGCACCCTTAGTTCCCTTCCGCTTCATTTTCTTATGGTCCTCGACCCCCCTAGGTCTACTCTTGACGAGATTGACCAGATCATGGCTCGCTATTTCTGGGGTTATGAGGACGGTTCCGGGAGGGGGAGACGTACCCACTAGG